AGAATCCTTGCCCTGTCATACTCTTGCCTCTCCCCAGGGCCAAGGGCTTCCAGCACCAGCGGATGACCAATGGGGCCATGAACGTGGAGATTGGGAACCCCACGTATAAGATGTATGAAGGCGGGGAGCCTGATGATGTAGGGGGCCTACTGGATGCTGACTTTGCCTTGGACCCTGACAAGGTGGGCTGGGAGGAGAGAGGAGGAGGCTGTGGGTGGGGTGACTAGGGGCGTTGGGTTGGATGATGGAACGGAGGTGGGCGGTGGGGTACCCGGGCCACAGAGCCCAGCCCCTGAACCCCACCTGAACCCTCTCACCTTGCAGCCCACCAACTTCACCAACCCCGTGTACGCCACACTCTACATGGGTGGTCACGGCAGCCGCCATTCCCTGGCCAGCACGGACGAGAAGCGAGAACTCCTGGGCCGGGGCCCTGAGGACGAGATAGGGGACCCCTTGGCATAGGGCCCTGCCCCATCGGACTTCCCCCAGAGAGCCTCTTGTCCCCTGTTGGAGAAGTCCTTCAATGAGCCCCTCTTCTGCCCAGCCAGCCCTTCTCCGGCGCTGCTGGGATGTATAAATGTAAAAATGAAGGAATTACTTTTTATATGTGAGTGACCAAGCGAGCAAGCGAGCACAGTATTATTTCTTCCCTTCTCCCCCTCCCTGCCTGCTCCTCAGCACCCCTCTGCTGCCTTCAGGGAGGACGGGCAGGGAGGGCTCAGGGGGCTCCTGTAGCTGACAGGTATGAGGGGTTCCCACCTCCCACCTTCCCATCAGAACGCACCCCCACTGGGAGAGCTGGTGGTGCTGCCTCCCCCCCCCTTACAAGACACTTTGTCAAGGCTCTCCTTCTCATCCCCCCACCCCTCCTGGCTTCCTGAGGGCTAATTCTGGGGAGGGAGAGTCCCTCGCTGCCCCTCTCTGGAAGATTTGGCTCCGGCTGAGATAGGAAGGAAAGGATGGAGTTTTTTAGTTCTTCTGGGGGAGGCCATCCCAAGCCCCAGCCCCCACTCTAGGGGTACCTCTGAGATGGCCATGCTCAATACCCCTCCCAGACAGGCCCTCCTCCATCTCCAGTGCCCCCTCCGTGGCTCCCAGGGCTGGAGACTCTTCGGTTAACAGTCTCCCAGGATCCCCTCCCCTGGGGATGTGGAGCAGGTGGGGCACACCAAGGAAGGGCAAGCGGGCAGCCCCGTTTTGGGGACATGAACGTTTTAATAATTTTTGCTGAATTCCTTTACAACTAAATAACACAGATATTGTTATAAATAAAATTGTAAAAAAAAAAAAGAAAAAAGAAAAAAGTCACTTGTGTCTACCTATGAGTGTGAGACTCTGGGAGCTGGGCTGTGCTTGCCTGCTTCAGCCACCAGAGGGAGCCATGCTCTGTGCTGGAGGCGGGTCTGAGAGTCTGGTCACCTGTGCCCTCATCTGAGAGCTGCCCCCTGTCGTCTCACTGTGGCAGGGGGTGGGGGTGGCACTGGACTTGAGGAAGATCTGCTTCTCCTGGCTGTGTGACCTTGAGCGGGTGACTTTCTCTCTCTGGATCTTGTGTTCTCTCTGGCTCTAGGGTACTAACTCCAAGATCTGTTTGTCTGCATTGTCACTTTTATGGACACCACCACCCCCCCTACCCAAAACAATCTCCCACAGCGAGAAATCCCCCCCATAAGAAAGGAACATACTGGGGTTGTGAACAGCTTCTAATCCTTCAGGGTGGTCCCATACAGCTCCCTGCCTGAGGTTGCTCTTGAAGTGCTAACATCTCACACTTCGTGGAGACTAATTAATCAGATGCCGAGATAGAACGCTGGGTTCAGGAGAAGGCGGCCCTGGAGGGAAGGAGAGCTGGGAAGACCAGTTTGCCCAGCCCCACAGGCCACCAACAGACCCAGCTCACCAACCATTGTAGACATCCCAGGGGTTGACAGGAAAGGACTACTACATTCAAAAGGGTCCCAGGTCTACTTCACCCCTGCCCAGAGCGGGGAACCTTATGCAGGTCACCTAGCTTTACACTGTCCAAGATTGAGAGAGGGTTAGAGCCCCACTCTCCCCTCAACAGCAAACAGGTGGCAAAGAACCCTTACAACTCCCGAAAGGGGAGCACTGCCTTTCATTCCACCTCCCTCCTTGGTCAAACTTCGTGTCTATTCCTCCTTTCTTGAGGAACCTATGGGTCTAGGCGCCTCTAGAAACAAGAGCCCTCCCTTGCCTCTTACCCCTGAGATCCCATCTCCAACCTCAGCCTCCAAGCCAGTTCTGAGATGCTCCATTCGTCGGGGGCTCCCTAGGGCTGCAAAGGCGCAGGGGCAGAGCGACTCTGCTGAGAAAAATGGGCATCATTGTTGATTGCCGAGAAGGAGGCTTGTGCCTCCATCTGCCCACCAGGTGGCGCATGCACGCCTGCAGGGCCGCTCATCCTGAAGCCCAGCACAGCCCCCTCTCCAACACACACACTAATTATACACCTGCCGGTGGACCCCAGCCCAGCCTCTCACTTCCTTCCCTCAGGCTATTCTGCCACACCCCCTACACCCTCACCAGCAGGCTCCTCTCCCTCCCCCAGCGCCTGCCTGCTCCCCACCACCACCAGCCCCACCCCCTCACTCCCTCCCTCTGCCAGCAGTGCATCTGGCGCCCCCGGGGAGCCACCGATTCTTTGCCTGTCGCCTCAAGATCCTGGGCAGAGGGAGAGGGGCCCCCAGCTGTGGCTTGGAACGCACACCCCTCCAGGACCGGCCAGGAGAGAGTCTACCAGGAGGCTCCTCACCTGGCAAGGAAGGCAGAGGGCGCCTAAGACAGAGATGGAGGAGCCAGGAGCAGGACCAGGGGCAGAGGTTGATACAGAAAGAATGCGAGACAGAGATACAGAAATGGAGAGATATAGGGACAGAGGCAAAGACCCAGAGACGGGGAGTAGTGTGTGTGTGTGTGTGTGTGTGTGTGTGTGTGTGAAAGTGAGTGTGCGCACGTGCGCGCGCGAGCAGCTGGAGAGAGAAGGGGGTGACCTGAGATTGTAGCAAAAGGAGGAGAGATGGGGTGGGTCGGGACTCCACAAGATCAGGATCCCAGTGATGGGCATCTGTCTTGGGCACCCTAGGCCTGAGTATGCCCCACACCCCAGCTCACTGCTGCAGCAGCCCCTGTGCTTGAGACCTGGGCTCAGGGTTCTGGTCGGAGTCTTGGGGCCTTGGGCCTGGCCACTCCTGTCCCTCCCTGCCTCTCTCCTCTCTGCCCAGCCTGCTCCCAGTCACCTGCCTCCTGGCTACTGTCTGTCTCTCCGGTGTCTCTGTGTCCGCCTCATCTTCTCAGCATCCTTGATCTTTTTTTGTGTCTGTCACCTCCCTCTATCTGTCTATCTGTTTGTATGTGCCTGGGCTTGTCTCTTGGACTGCCAGTGCCAGCGTACACCTGCGTGTGTGTCCATCTCTGTCTGTGGATGTTTGCCTCTCTGCCAAGGCAAGGAAGTGGGGGTGGGCTCTGAGTACCTGGTGGGGTGTGCTTGTCTCTTGGTGCAAGTGTGCATTTGTCTATCTGTCTCTGTGTGCTCCTGTGTGTGTGTAAATGGTGTGTGTCCATCTGTGTGTGCCAGTGTGCCTCTAGGTGCACCTGTCTGTGTGTGTGTGTGCTGGTCTCTGCAGGATGTGTTTTGCTCTGCCTGGTGCTCACCTCCATGGTGGGCCTGTCCCTGTGACTGCATCTGCCAGCATGCCTGGGGGGTGTTGGTGTCTCAGGGTATGCGCCTGTCTCTCTATCTCTTTGCTTGTCCCTATCTCTCGCTAAGTGTCGGTCATACCACAACCTCAGCCACAGCCTCAGTGCGTAGCAACAGCTGACAGCTGAAGACTCCCTGGGCAGGGGAGAGAGAGAGACTAGGGGGAGGAGGGAGCCGGTGAAGAAACAGCTAAGAGGATAGGGACAGAGACAGGGCTGGGGCTGGGGACAGAGACAAGGACAGAGACAGAGGAGGAAGGGGACAAGGATTGAGAGGAGCTGATGGTGAAAGATGGGACAGTGCGTGGGAAGGGATAGAGATTGCACCAAGAGGCCGGGCAGGCGGCGCGGAGGGGGACTTCCTGCCCAACCCCCACGCAGGGCCGCTCTGGGACGCGCGGGGGTCAGCGGTGGGGGGCGAGGGGCAAAGGTGAATGGCTGGCCTGGCGGAGGGGTCCTGAGACCACGGCGGTGCCTCGTAGGCGGGGGCGGGGGTGGCGGGCGCCATTTGTCAGCGCTATTGACAGACGTGATGGGGTTTCCGTCCGTGATCAATGATTCTCATCTCCGGGCCGAATGAGCCGCGGGGCGCCCATCCATCCCCGTCAGCGCCGCGGCCCGCAGACGCCCGAGGCCCGGCCCGCCCTTACCTCGGCCTGTGCCCTGCTCCTGCCCCGGGACCCACCTTGGCCCGGAGCAGAGCAGGGGCCCGGAGCACCGAGGGACCCTAGTCTGGCTGGGCCGCCGAGCCCTGCCGCGCTCCTGTTCCGCGGTGCCCCCTTCGGGGCACAGTCCCGGAGCCTCGCGCCCTGCGCCCTGCCCCGTTCCTCATCGGTGCCCAGACCAGCCTCTCGGGGACACGGACCCTGAGCCCCGCAACCCTCTCCGCTTCGCACCTGGGCCGGGGGCGTGTCTGGGGCGTGTCGGGTGAAAGTCACCTTCGGTGCCCCCAGCTGGGCGGGAGGGGGCGCGCGGGGCGCGGCCGGGATTGGAGCGCCGCGGAGCCCCGCCCCCCC